GCATTCTTCCTGAGGAAGTTTTTAGGAAGGTTTTGTTGGAAGGTGCTGGGAATCCTGGAGTGTTCGCGAGGAGGGTTTTAGGACGGTTTGTTCTGAAAAGGTTCCAGGAATTCTGGATCTTCTTGGGGCAGGTTTCAGGATAATATATATATATATATATATATATATATTGATCGCTTCGCTCATTCCGCTGGCCCATACAGTCTCATGTCTGCCGTTTGCCCGAGGGCCTGGTGTCAATGCGGCGCTTTGGGGGTTCCTGGGGCCGCTTGGGGACTCCTGGGGCGCTCGGGGGGGCATTTGGGGGCCTCCTGACTCTTGGGGGCCTCCTGAGGGCCTCGTGGGGGCCTCTTGGGGCCTCTTAGGGGCCTCTTGGGGCCTCGTAGGGGCTTCTTAGGGCCGAGGGCTCGAAATGTTGTTTCGTGTTCCCTCTCTGGGGCCCCTTTGGGGGCGTTCTTGGGGCCCTCTTGGACCGTCTTGGAGGCTTCTTGGGCCGTCTTCGAGCCCTCTTGGGCCATCTTGGGGCCCTCTTGGGGGCCTCTTGGGCCCTCTTGGGGCGATCTTGGGGGCCTCTTGGGCCGTCTTGGGGCGTCGGGAAGCCGAAAAGGTGGAAGCTCCAAAATCTTTCAAAAACCTAAGGAAAAACAATGAATTTTGCCTCCGGGGGCCCTCTTGGGAGTGCTCTTGGAGGCCTCTTGGGGCGTCTGGGGGCTATCTTGGGCGTCTTGGAGCGATCTTGTGGCATGTCGGACCCCTCGTGTACCATCTTGGGGGCCTCTTGGGGGCCTCTTGGCCTTTCTTGGGGCTCTCGGGGACGTCTCGGAGCCCTGTTGGTGCGCTCAAGGAGCGCTCCTGGAGCGCTCTGGGGGAGTCTCCCGGGGGTCGGTCGGGGATCGCCCGGGGTACTTTTCGTCCGGGGACCCCCAGGGGCCGCCCCGCGCGCGCGCGAACTAGAGAATTGTTAACCAGTTACCGGAGATCTTAGCACGCCTCTGGCCCGTTGGGCCGGCGAATTAAAAGAGGTGTCAGGAATCCTGAATTCTTCCTGCGGAAGGCTTTAGGAATCCTTTTGCAGAAAGAGGTTATGAATTGGAACCCTTGTTGTAGAGGCTCTCAATCGTAAATAGTTGGCTTCCAATTGGAATCCTTTTTTTGTAGAAGCTCTCACTAGGAATCCTTGTGTAGAGGCTCTCAATCGGAATATTTTTCTGTTACAAAAAAAGACTTTCAATAGGAATTCTTTTTGTAGAGGCTCTCAATAGGAGTCCTGTTGTCGAGGCTCTCAACACGAATCCTTTTGCACAGGCTCTCAATAGGAATAAATTTGCATGGGGGTTCTCTGGGAATCCTTTTGTATTGGATTTCAAAAGGGAACCCTTTTGTGTAAAGGCTCTCATTAGGAATCACGTTGCAGAGGCTTTCAATAATAATTGTTTCGCAGAGGCTCTCAATAGGGCTCCTTTTGTAGAAGCTCTCGATAGGAATCCTTTCGTAGAGGCTCTCAATCGGATTTTGTTTGTAACAGCTTTCAATGCGAATCCTTGTTGCAGAGGCTCTGAATGGGAATCCGTTTTGTAGAGCCTGTCAACAATAATCCATTTTGCACAGGTTCTGACTAGGAAACCATTTGTGATAGGTTTCAGCAGGAATCCCTTTGTATTCGCTTTCAATGGGAATATTTGTTTGTACAGACTCTCACTAGGAATCCTTGTGTACAAGGCTTTCAATTTGAATCATTTTGTAGAGGCTCTAAATTGGAATCCTTTTGCAATGGCTTTCCAATGAGCATCATTTTGTGGAGGCTCTCAATAGGAATCCCTTTGCACGAGCTCTCAATAGGAATCCAGTTGTATTGGGTTTCAATCGGAATCCTTTTGTATTGGCTTTGAATAGGAATCTGTTCGTAAAGGCTCTCAACCGGAATCCTTTTGCAGCGGTTTTCAATAGGAATAGTTTTGTAGAGGCTCTCAATCGGAATCCTTTTGATTGCACAGGCGCTCAATCGGAAACCTTTTTGTTTTGGTTTCCAATCGGAATCTTTTTGTAGAAGCTCTCAATAGGAATCCTTTGTGTGGAGGCTCTCAACATGGCTCCTTTTGTACAGGCTCTCAATATGAATCCTAGCGTAGACGCTCTCAGTCGGAAGGTTCCAGGAAACCTGGATGCTTCCAGAGGATGTTTTTAAGGAAGGTTTTGTTGGAAGGTTCCAGGAATCCTGGATTCTCCCCGAAGAAGGCTTTAGGATTGTATATTTTGTTTGCGACCCAACACGGCCACGAGGACCGGGTCCCGCATACCAATAATTGATTGAATTGGGGTGCAACAAAACTGCCGATGAAGAGTGTGTTCAACACCGTGGAAGACAGGAACAGGTAGTCGAGGAATGGGGCAGCTGTGCGCGAAGATACTGAACCTCCCAATGCGCAGCACGTCCCGGAGAAATCCCGCGAAGTACCCAATTATGCCCCAAGATCGGCGGCTCGTGGCGCCGAGGCGCCCGGGCCCCCGAGAGGGCAGGGGAGGCCCCTCCCGGCCCCGAGGGGCTCCGACGGGGGAGAGGCCTCCGGTCGTGCAGGATGACCTCCATGCTCGTACTCAAGCGTCAGCGCCCTTGCGGCGACGCTTCGATGGTTTGAACCCCTTCCCAGTGCCCTTGCCCTTGCCCACGTAGTCCTGCAGCTGCTGACACTGCGGCCCGTCGTCGCTCCTCGCCAGCACGAGCCTGGCCCCCTTCGCCTTCTCACCGAACGCCGCCGCCGTGTACAGCGGGTTGACGAACTCGGGCGGGGCAGTGCGGGACAGCATGAGGCTCCAGACCCAAGCACGATCAGCCTGCTCCAATGGTTCCTCATGGGCTGGCTGGAGCCGGAAGCACCAGGCCTCGACCTCCTTCAACGAAGCCTTCTGCAAGGTCTCGATGGCCGCGTGCTGCGTCCTGGCCAGGTCGTATTTCGCCTGGTCCTGTGGCGGCTTCGGCCAATTCTGCATCATCTCCGCGCTGGCCTTGCCGACTTCGGTGATCAGCGCTGCCCAGGCCATTGCCCGAAGCGAGTGGCCACACGGGTGCGGGCCTTCTGCGGGCTTCGCAGTCTTCCAATCTTTACGTACTTTCACCACGGCCGCCTTCGCCTCGAGGCTATACACCAAGAATGTGAGAGAATCTTTATCTTGCAACGTCTGAATGCTGCGGTCGTGGCGGATCAGCATGCGCCCCATCAAATTGCACATCTCCTGGAGCTCCTGGACCGAGCCGCCGGCCCCTCCGTGGCCCCCCTGGGCCCTGACTGCCGGGCATGGCCTGCTGAGCTGGCGCGGGAGCTGCTGCGCGGAGGGCCTCCAGTCCGGCTGCTGCGCCGCTGGCCATCTCCGAACTATCCGGCAAAGAAGATGGGCAAGAGAGACATATTCTGCTCAAATCGCTGCGAGAAGGAGGAATCAGAACAGCAGCGACAGCATTCCCACTCTCTATGTGGCTCAATAACAAATGCGTTTACACTTGATGTGTAGGCAAACTTCGGTCGATGCATAAGGGAATAAAGAGAAGACAGGACCACAGCAGAGATCCACGACATACTCCTCGATTGAACTATCATAGTGTGCACGGATATGTACGGTATGACACAGTAGTGCAATGAAGAACAAATAGGACCACAGCAGAAATCCACGACCTGCTCTTCCATTGAGTCAATTTTCTTCGTGTCTTTAGGAGCGTGAGATAATGCGTATCCGAAAGCACAATGCAAAGATGAGCATAATGGCGTACTTCGGTCGATGCATGAGGGAAAAATAGAAGACAGGACCACAGCAGAGATCCACGACATACTCCTCGATTGAACTATCATGTTGTGAACGGATATGTACGGCATGGCGCAGTAATGCAATGAAGAAAAGGTAGGACCACAGCAGAAATCCACGACATACTCTTCAATTGAGTCCGTTATCTTCGTGTCTTTAGGAGCGTGAGATCATGCGTATCCGATATAGTGTGCAAGAATACGTACCACGTATTGCATACACAATAAGCACGCACGAAGGTGAACATAATGGAGTAGTGGTGAGGCACAACAAAACAACATAATGGTGTAGTGGATGATAAAGCACAATACAAAGATGAACATAATGGCGTAATAAATGGTGTAGAGCATGACATCGTAGAGGCCGCAGTACACAACGAGCCAAATTTGGCTCAATATCCCGCATCTTGCCCAGGCGCTCGTTCTGGGACGGGGCTGCGGGAAGACCCAGAGCCAAGCCCGCCGCATACGCGACGTGGTGCTGCGTGGTGCTGCTTCTGGCACTGGTGCTGCGTAGTGCTGCGTAGTGCTGCTTCTGGCGCTGATGCTGCTGGTCGCAGTCGTGGTGTTGCTGCTGGTGCTGCTGCTGGTGCTGGTCGCAGTAGTGGTGCTGCCGGTCGCAGTCGTACTGGTACTGCTAGTTGTAGTAGCGCTGCTGCTGCTAGTCGCGGCCGTCATGGTGTGTGAACAATGCTCCCATCCTCAATGCTGTCTGTAGGGTGTGGCATGCACGGGCCGCAGTCGGGAGCAACCTAGTGTCTCCGAGCAGTCGATGCCAGAAACAAGGATGCCGCCACACACTGTTTTGCACCAGCGCTTATCAAAATAATGAGCTGCATCGTAGCGTCACACATCAGATGGGCCTATAACTTGAGAGCCATGTCCTGCACGAAGAACACTTTATGTGTCACGGAATACCCCCTCAGGCTTGTACGGCACTCAGGGGGGACAGCTTCGGTGACCTCCCATACCCATATGCCGCCACTGCTCCTAGCTCTCACAATGGTGCACGTCGTAGTCGGCCACCCGTGGTGTGGTGACGTTAACTCGGCTGGCCACTCGTGGTGGTGCTGGCGATGTTAGTCGTGCTGCTGGTCGTGGTGGTAGTGCTGTCGGTCGCAGTCGTAGCCATGCCGCTGCGGTCGCCCAGAGCGGCCGCCACCTGCGGAGGCCTGCTGGATGTTGGAACTGGCGTGCCTGACCGAATCAGGGCTGCCGAAAGCCCGGGTATCCGTCCAGCGGCAGGTTCGCGGCCTGACGCCGCTTCTTGCAGTGCCCGACGTGTACCCTCTTCGCGAAGATGTCTCGAAATGGCAAGCCGCAGTGCGGGCACTGTTGGGGCCAGGTGTTCACCGTCGCCTCCCCGTACTCTGCGATAGTACGTCTCCGTGTCGCCTCCCTCCAGGTCTCGAACGGCATGCTCGGACAGTTCTCCCTCGACTTGCATTGCTGCCTGCTTTTCCCGCAGTAGGGGCAGGTGCGGGACCAGGAGTCCGACGGGCGCGGACCCTCTGCTTGGGCGGGGCGCCGCCGGGCAGAGGCCGCCGGGCGGCGGAGGGCCCCTGCAGCTGGGGGCGGTGCGGCGGCTGCCGAAGGGGGGGCCGGCATTCCCGGGCGCCTGCGTGGGTGCAGAGCCGGGAGGGGCGCGGGAAGAGGGGCGGGCCCCGTTGCAGGGGGCTGCAGTGGCGGCAGAGGGGCGCCAGAAGCGGAAGCCCCTGCCGACGAGGCAGAAGCCGCTGCCGGTGCAGATGGTCCCGCCGATCCGCGTGCGGAAGGTGTCCGTTGCCAGCGCTGGCGGTCCGCCTGCTGCCCCCTCGCCGCTGGGACGTGGTGTTCCTGCGGCCGCGCCCGTCGAAGAGCACAAGAGTAGCGGTGGTGAGTGGCCAGAGAGCGCTGCTGGTCCTGGCGCCACATTCGCAGGTGGTCATGGGCTTGATGCGCGCCTTCGCCTTAGCCACAGCTTTGGACGAGGGCAGGGCCAACCGATGCAGGCCTCCGCAGGGAGCAGCAGCGTCGCTGCCTCCTCCCCCTCCGCCCCCAGTTCCCCCTCCTTCGTCTCCACCTCCCGCATGAGCTGGTGCTGGCTGTTGGTCGGCATCATGGCGGTTTGCATGGGTGTCCTGGTCCGCGCTCTTGCGCTTGGCCTCGACGTAAGTGCGCAGCAGTTGATCCCACAGGTGATGGCTACCGCTGTCATCGTACGTGGTCGCCAAGACATGCCATGGTCGCCCCTGTCCGTCAAGCGCCTCCACGCCGCGCAACCAATCATCCACTTGCTTCTTCCACGTAAGACCGCGGCCCGCTGCTGTGTAAGTGCACTCAGGGTCCAGCCAGCCACGCAGCATACGGTATTCTAGCCGAGACGAACCCCGACGGCAGACGTGCCCAATCCAGCCCAGAGTGCGCTTAATGATCTGCACCCTAATGCTGTCCATGCCCGTCCAGAGCCGCAAATCGGTCTGCGTGAGTCGGCCCTTCATGGTGCGGATGGTGAGAGTGGAGCTCATTGTCACGGCGCGGACCACCCTGTTCTGGAATCTCTGAAGAATGTCCAACTGCTTCGTATTGAAAGGCGTGACCTCGCAGGCGTACAACAGAGAAGCCATAACCGTTGCCTGGACCACTTTGCCCTTCTCCCGGGCGCTCAGGCCCAGTGATGGAAGTCGACGATACACGGCATACCAAAGCTTTCGGGCCCGAGTCAGCCTCTCGTACAGGTTGCGGTCAGTGGTGCCGTCCGCCGAGATCCAAGATCCCAGCAACTCAATAGATGGGTCCCATTTCTGAGCGGCTGCTGGCGGAGGCGCCGCCAGGGCTGGGCCCAAGGCGGCCGCCGCCGAGCTCTTGCCAGTAACCCGCCGTCGGACCAGGCCCTGGGCGGCTGCCGGGGCGGCTGTCGAAGCGGCTGCAGGCGCGGCTGCGGCCGGGCGCCGCCTGGGCGGATGCTCAGCGCGTGGTGCTGCGGCAGCATGTGCAGGGGCTGCGGCAGTCGCCGGCGTCGCCCGCCGAGCGCGCAGGTGTTGCCACTTGTCAGGGTGCACCGTCTCGCCCCATTCGTTCATAGTCGAGGTGATCAGATCGCGGCGAGCTTCGGCCACCGACGCCCGATGCACCAGGTTAGTGTCGTCCGCAAAGCTGATGAGGTCCACGGTGAAGCGCTCCCAAGTGTCGGCCTGCCGCTGCCATTTCGGGCCGTGCATGCCGTTGAGTGGATGTATGCGGACGGTCTCCGGTGCATGGCGAAGCTGTACAGTGTCAGACAGGCCAGCCGCCGCAGAGCGTGCTCGGAAATCACGGAGGCCTGCGTTATGGTAAATATTGTAGCGGACGCAACACGCCGGGCATCCTTCTTTGAACCCCCGCAGCAGTTTGTACGGCTTGGAGTAGCCGAGCTTGTTCCGACAAACATACTCTGTGAGCTCCGTCAGGCCCTTCTCCAGCTGAATCACGGCCTCCGGGATGCCCTCGTTGCGCTCGACAACCTCCGCTGCGTTCCTGAAGGCCGAGGGGTATGCTTTCTGCATGTCCAGCGGCTCGACGCAAATAGGGTCATCGATGTTGTCGGCCCCACAATGACACGCCAAATCAACCAGACGCCGGACCACCGAGACTGCACCCAGCGTACTCCGCATAGGCCGGAAACCCCATTGGTCGTTGGCCAACACATGGTGTTCTTCACAGTACGCTGTAAGCCGGGCAGACAGGACTCGGGCGATGATCCTGGCAAAGATCGAGATCAGGCAGATGTCTCTGTGCTTGTCTAGATCTTGAGGGTCTCCTTTCCGCTTCCAAAGAGAAATAACCACTGCTTCATGGAGAAAGGCCTCCCGCTCCTGCGGCGGGGTCACCCACATGTGCTGGATGCCATGGATAGTGTGGCCCACCACCCGGTCGCCGCCGTGCAACAGCATCTTGATCGTGATCTCGTCCTTGCCCCCGGCGGAGTTCTTCATCTTCTGCATCTGCGCCAAAATCTCTGTCGAGGAAGGAGTGTCGCCGAGAGCTGCACAGGTAGGGCGTGGCGGAGGCAACCTATCCAAGGTTTCTTGACTGACCGTGTTGACTTCAGCCCCCAGCTTGCTGTAGTGCTCCCGAAGAGCCTCTGGCGTGTGATCTTGACGTCCACGCTGGGAATATTCCTGCAGCTTTACACCCAACTCGCGCAGCGTGGCGTAGAAACGGCCCATATCATGAAATTGCATGGAGCGTTCCAATTCCGTGACCATGCCAGAAATCCACTCCGCTCGCCACTTGCGGCGAAGAGCACGATACGCCTGGGACCGAGCCCGGTGCTGTTGGCGGAGGGCTGTGGACTCCTCCGTCGTGGGCGCCAGTCGCTGGCGGCGGCGAAGTTCCCGCAGTGCATCACACTCCGCCTGCATCTCGCGCGCGTGGCCGGCGAGGTACAGAGTGCACCACCGTTTTGACTCCCTCCCCACCACTTCCTCGGCAGCTGCCGCAGCGATGTCCCGAATGGCAAAAAGTGGGCAGTTCTCGTCCAAAGGCGGTGTCCGGTCTTCGCAAAGTCGCACATACTGTTCTCTCAGGGCGACGGCCTCGGGGAGCGAGCCCTGCATACGATGAAGGGCCAGCGGGCGCTTCTGAGCCTCCGCGCCCAGTTGTCGAAGTTCGCGCCACGCCTCGTGGGCCTTGGCGAGGGCCAGGTGGTACGTCTTGCCACAGTGGTCGCTGAATTCCACTTGGAACGTCTTGACTCTCGAAAACCGGCGCCGCAGAGGCGACGACGCCGCACAAACATCAAGCTCGAAGTGGATGTGGCGACCGCCCACAGGGTGTGACCATGTGCCGCGAGGGCGGATCTTGAAGTACGAATCGATGAGATCGAGCTGCGGGCCGTGAGCAAGCCAGGCGGCCAGCTCGCGCCCAGGCGTCCCCGCCGGTGTGTTCATCCCGTATCGGCCCAAGCCGCTGTAGTGTTGGCAGGAATCGACTCCAATATGGTTGTTCCAATTGCCCAACCACAGCTGCGAGGTCGACGCAGGGATTCCCAAACGTACTTCATCGCAAAGCTCAAAGAAGTCACGCCGGAGGTCGGCTCCATAGGACTGGTCTGGTGCATAGACAGATGTAATAGCGCACGAGGCGCCCTTGATACGCAGAGACACTGTGAGGAGGCGGCCGCATTCGTGTCGGGCGACATGGCACTCATGATCTCGCCAAGCCTGCTGCGCCGCCGGGCTCAACAAAATCGCACTGCGAGTACAGAAGATGACGATGAACTCTTCTATCGCGACGACGGTGTTTCGTAGGTCCCGAGGCGCTCCGGGGAGCGAGTGGTAGTCAGTGAACTCCCACGGGCAGTGCACGTCAGACAAACAGGCGGCAGCCCAGCCCTCAGTACGAGCAAGTCGGATCATCCCAAGGGCTTTGGCCATGTGGCGGTCTGTTTGATTCGCCCAGCACCAGCCCTGCATATTGATTGTTACAAGGGTAAGGTGAGCAGAGGTAGAGAGAGAGCGTTGGTGACAAAATCGATGAAGATGGCGCACTCGGTCACGACGTCGCCCTCCAGCAGTACGAGCTCGGAGGTCCGCGATGAACGGTGCCACCGATCTCCGGGCCTTCCGTGGTAGTCCGGCCCCCCTTCGAGAATCAAAATCGGTTGCGGTGCAGGGTTCGGAAGAAGCCCCGAGCGTGCCACCCTGCATTGAGCCGAAGCTCAGCACGCCACGGAGTCGGTACTCCCCAAGTTGTCTCATGGGGTTATTGGGGCGTTGGTCGCCCCCACGCGCTCCCGAGGTACCTGTTCCTGCTGAGGTCCTCTATGAGCGTCACGGTCTTCAAGGTAAGAACAACTGGCCCAATGATGATGAAGAGATGGTTGAAGCTGATGGCGGAGAACATCCAAATGATGAACACCTGGAAAATGAGGAGGAGGAGAAACATGATGGACTGGACCTGACCCGTGTCCACAACCCAGAAGACCCCAGCGTAGGATGCGCTTCTCTTCCCAGCAACGTAGAGCTGCCCCAGCGGGAAGGGATTGTATATTTTGCTTGGAAGGTTCCAGGGGTCTTGGATTCTTCGCGGGGAGGGTTTTAGGGTTTTTTTTGAAGGTTCCACGAATCCTGGATTCTTCCAGGGGGAAGTTCTAGGAAGGTTTTGTTGGAAGGTTCCAGGAATCCTGGATTTTTCCAGAGGAAGGTTCTAGGAAGGTTTGTTTGAAGGTTCCAGGAATCCTGGGTTCTTCTTGGGGACGGTGTTAAGAAAGTTTTTTTGGGGGAGGTTCCAGGAATCCTGGATGCTCCGTGAGGAGGGTTTCAGGAAGGTGTTTCGGAAGGTTCCAGGAATCTTGGAATCCTCGTGGGGAGGGTTTTGGGAAGGTGTGCTCCTCCTTTCTTTGAAAGGTTACAGGGATCCTGGATTGTTCGTGAGAAGGGTTTTAGGGAGGTTCTTTGAAAGGTTCCAGAAATCACGGATTCTTCCTCAGGGAGGTTTTACAGTTTTTTTTTTGAAAAATCCTGTACTCTTCCTGCGGAAGGTTTCAGGAAGTTGTTTTTGAAGTTTCCTCGAATCCTGGATTCTTCCGGACGAAGGTTTTAGGCAGATTTCGGGCGGGCGGGCGGCGAGCGGGCGGGCGGCGGGCGCCAGGCGCGCGCGATCCCCCCCCCCTGATCCACCCCAGGGACCCCCGCCTGGATTTCGACGCCCCCTCCGGCCCAAGACCACCCCCCGACGGACATGTCATTAATGCATAAAGTGCTCCAAAACGGGCCAAGTGGGCCCCAAGAAGCCGGAGAGACGGTTCCAGAAGACCCCGAAGCGCCGAATGATCCAAGCCTGCCGCGCCGCGGCGGAACGCCATCTTCGCCCTCGCCCTCCGCCTCCGCATCCCTCTTCCCGTTTTCACCCTCCTCCCCCTTGTCGTCGCCCTCATCGCCATGCGCCCTCCCCCCCTTCCCTCCCCCCCTTCTGTCAGCCCCAATGGCGAAGATCGCGCCAGGGCCCGCATGGGCAATCTATGACTTCCCCGGAAGTCCAAAGGCCCCCGGGCCCCCAACAAGACAAACTTCTTTGGGGTCGGCGGCAGAGGCGGCAGCCTTGGGATGCCGGGGCGCGGCGGGGGGCGAGGTGGGGGGCATCGGTAGGTTTCAGGGGAGAGATTGTCGAGTGCGGGGTTTCTTGGGGCTCCCAGAGGGGATATCTAACCTATGGCCGCTTGGGCCTCTCAAAATTGGGGGGGGGCACAAGAGCAGGAAAAATCAACGAATCGACACCGGATGTGTATGAACTTGACACGTTCTGATAGGGGGCTTCCTGGGGCCTCCTGCACCTCCTGGGAATCTCCTGGGGACCCCTGGGGCCTGTCCTGGGCGTCCTGCGGCCTCCTGGAGTTCTGTGGGGCCTCCTGGGGCTCCCAGGGTCCCAGGGAGGATATGTAACATGTGGTCTTCTGGGCCCCCATGGCTGGACCACCTCTTGCGCGGCATCTGGGAGCTCAGAGTTGCGAGAATGTCGTATGCGAAACGGGCCGAACCACCTTGCGCACGGCATCTCAGAGCTCAGAGTTGCGAGGATGTCTCAGGCGAGACGGGCCGGACCACCTCGCTCAGGGCATCTCAGAGCTCAGAACTTCGAGGATGTCTCAGGCGGGCTCCCAGGGTCCCAGGGAGGATATGTAACATGTGGTCTTCTGGGCCCCCAGGCTGGACCACCTCTTGCGCGGCATCTGGGAGCTCAGAGTTGCGAGAATGTCTTGTACGAAACAGGCCGGACTACCTTGCGCACGGCATCTCAGAGCTCAGAGTTGCGAGGATGTCTCAGGCGACACGGGCCGGACCACTTCGCGCAGTGCATCTCAGAGCTCAGAAGTTCGAGGATGTTTCAGGTGAAACGGGCCAGACCACCTCTCGCGCGGCATCTCCGAGGTCAGAGTTTCGAGGATGTCTCAGGCGAAACGGGCCGGACCACCTCGCGCAGGGCATCTCAGAGCTCAGAGTTTCGAGGATGTCTCAGGCGAAACGGCCCGGACCACCTCTCGCACGGCACCTCGGGGCTCAGAGTTTCGAGGATGTCTCAAGCGAAACGGCCCGGACCACCTCTCGCGCGGCGTCCCGGAGCGCAACTTTAAGAGGATGTCTCAGGCGAAACGGCCAATCCCGGCCAATTCAGAAACGAGAGTTGTGAGGATGTCTCAAGCGAAACGGCCCGGACCATCAAATTTTTGTGAGGACGTCTCTGCTCCGACTTCCCTCGGCCAGAGTTAGCTTCTATCACAACAGCACCCCGTTCAGCAAGTTGTTTGGGGAAAAAGCACAGCATACAATTTTTGAACATTTCTGTTTTAACATCGTCTTGGGATCGCTCTTGGAAAGGCTTCCAGACGGCCCAAACCAGGCTTCTAAAAATGACGATTTCGCGAGGGTCATCTTCAAAAAAAGATGTGTGTGACATCGCACTGACAGCGTTGCTGATGGCATCCAAACGGCCCCCCACACGAGGCACAATCTGACTCCAAGAGCGCCCTCGAGATTCCTCAAAATGCGCATTTCGCTTGATACATCCTCGAACAATGGAGTTAGTTGTTCGCAACACCGTCTTTCACAACAACAAGCATTTCGCCTGAGACATCCACCAGAAATTGAAAACCGCCAATTTAGCACACGCATGGACATTGGAATCTCGCCTGAGACATCCTTGCAAGAACGAGATGTTGAAAAAGCTGATTTAAGACCATGCGTGTTGAAACTGAGCTTTTCGCCAGGGACATCTTCAGAACATGGACGGGATCACGGCAGCCCAACACGCAGAAGCACGGCAGAACGCGCGAGAGCACGGCAGAACACACAGGAGCACGGCAGAACACAGGAGCACGGCAGAACATAAAAAACACACGGGAACACGGCAGAACACACAGGAGCACGAGGAGCACGGCAGAACACACCGAATTCTGCACGCTTTGCGTATCCCCACCAGGCCCGCAGCCTCGGGCTCAAGCTTGCGCTGCTGTCGCTGTGCACATGTGGAGCCAAAGCAGCTCCACTGGTCTGCTGCCAGCCTCGGCGCACATGGCCACGCATGTGCGTCAACATTTTGTCTTGACGCTCGTGAAGCTGTCTTTGGGCACCATCGCCGTGTTCTCACTTGGCGTTGGCGGCGCGGACGCCACCAACCCATCAGCCGAGGATGGCAACGCGAAGGTGGAGACGACGTGGCCCTCTGCTACCTCACTTGGCGAGGCGGCCTGGGCGCGGACTGGTTTGCGGGGCACACAGCCAGAGCTCGACGCCAGCCGCGGCGTCGCGGACAGTCGCGTTCGCAACAGGACGTTGTCCGCGATTGCAGACAGCAAGGCCTCGTCGGCTGTCGCACTCCTGCCTGCATGGCCGGGGGCGACGGATGTGGCGTTGGGAGGTTCGCAGCATGAGGAGGACCGCCGGCTAACTCAAGTCTATAGCTATTTGGAACCAGGCCTGACCTGCGACGACGTGGGCCTCCTAGACCCGTCGGACTCCACGGAGTGCTTCGGCCCCGCGATCACGTACGTCAATGTGACTGGAACTGGAGATCCAATAGATTTCGGAACCTCTTCTGCGTTTACTTTCGGTTGTGTCTACGACTCCGACCTGGACAGGGTTCTGTTCTCCGCGACCTCCGGCTCCGACACGACGTCGTCCCCAAAGTGGAGATACATTTGCCCAGGCTCATTCTCCACGACAATCTCCAGTACGATCACGGCAACGGCCACATCCATGTCGACCTCTGCCACGTCGACCTCTGCCAGCCACGTCCACGTCGTCTTCAACAGCCACAGAGCCTCCGGCAATGACTTTGGTGCCATTGGGCCAGACGTGCTACGACGTGGGCTTGCAAGACGTCGCGAGTTCCGAGTACTGTTTCAACATAGCAGCGTCCTATTTTCAATATCGAGCCCGCAACAACGAGCTACATCCCGAGTACGGCTTTCAAGGTCAGCTGTGTCTACGAAAGCGCCTCGGACACCATGATCTTTTCGCAGTCAACCGGCGCTCAAACGGAGGGATCTGCCGACTACCAGTTCCTCTGCATGGGGACATACACTACTACGGCTACGTTCATTCCGAGCACCTCCCTGGCCTTCAGCTCGACGACGACCGCGACAGCCACGACCGCGACAGCCACGACCACCTCCTTCCAGAACTACGCGCTTCTGGAAGCAGGAGAGACTTGCTACGAGGCTGGCATGGAAGATATCACAAGCAGTGCAGAGTGTTTCGGACCTGCCAGAAGCCGTTTCGGTTACCAGTCTGCTGTGACATATGATTTTTCAAACCAAGGTTTCACGTTTACATGCGTTCTTCAGACCGCGGACACGAAGATATTCTTCGCTGACGCTAGCTCAGAAGACGCCGTCGCCCAGGCGAACTTTCGGTACATCTGCAGGGGGGTCCTGACG